AAGCATCATTTTATGTCAAAATAAGCTCGACAACAAAGCAGCTTAATTTGTTGAACTCACACTCATATTCATATACTGTACGATTTTATTTCTTCAAATCCATGAACTATTGCTTCATCTGTCGGATGAATTATCTCCTATATACTTATACTTGAATTCTTCTAAAAACAATGACCAAGTTATATGATCACTATTCATTCTCAGTGTAACATTGGTCCACCAAATCCTTGCTTGCCCTCTAAGAAAGGAAATCACTCCATCCACCTTCTCTGAATCAGAACAATGAAATCCCTCTAGCATGATTTTCACATCATTGAGCCAAAGGTCTGCAGCAACAGGACCTTCTTCGGCTTTACCCCTAAATTATGGAGCTTTTAAACCCTTCAAGTCCTTCGTAACATTCATTCTCTGAGTTGAAGAGACAGGAGGTTGGAAACGCACCAATACCGCATCCAACGTCTAGAAGAAAACATCTTGATCACTCACATACACTCCGGAAGATGTCTGTTCTTCACCTTGCCTAGCCAGGGTAGATGAATTACTACTTTCAGCGTACCTATCGTCTCCCGCTTCACTTTGAGAACTATCATGTCCGGAAATCTATTAAGACATAATCATATTGTTCTATTAGCAAAACAACATATTCAATATTCTATCAGATCATAAGTTCTCACTATTTTTTTGTTGGCATATATACATTTAAAAATCATTATAAACTTAGGTTTACGCCTAGAACCGGCTAAACCATGGCTCTGATACCATTAAATGTAACACTCCTAACTCGTACCCGACCCGGATACGAATCTGAGGTGTCACATTTTACTTTTCAAAATTTGACTCTTATAAAAATCATGAAAATCTAAATTTTCATTATATAAAATTCATTAATTTATTTAAGTTAAACCAAAATATTACAAAACTGATCAAACTATGTATAATTCACAACTTGTTTACATGTCAACACATTTAATACCACAAAATGCATACTTTACAAATTACTTCTGATCTGATCTACCAGTAGAGGTATGATGTCTCTGTAACTTCTAATTCTGGTCCTCCTGCTTTTTGGTACCAACGTGTAAACCACTTACACACTAAGTCAAAGACATAGGCATAATATAATATGTAACCATGAATATATGAAACATGTACTACTATCAATCAATCATAATATTATAATTTACATATATCTACTAACTATAACATATACTATTATAGTATACACATATAAAACTTAACTTATTATAAGAGTTTACATTCAATTTATCTTTAAATGCCCATGTACATTATTGAGAACAGGAGGTACTTGAGTACACTGAGGTTGTGCACAAATGTTGTCACCACATCTCGAATAAATTCCCACTAGGGGCACTGAAAAATTATCCCGAATGACCACTTTGTCCCGAAGGACCACTTATAATCCATCGACTCTTGGCATGCAAATTATAACTATAGCTCTCACTATTTTTTTGTTGGCATATATACATTTAAAAATTATTATAAACTTAGGTTTACGCCTAGAACCGGCTAAACCATGGCTCTGATACCATTAAATGTAACACTCCTAACCCGTACCCGACCCGGATACGAATCTGAGGTGTCACATTTTACTTTTCAAAATTTGACTCTTATAAAAATCATGAAAATCTAAATTTTCATTAAATAAAATTCATTAATTTATTTAAGTTAAACCAAAATATTACAAAACTGATCAAACTATGTATAATTCACAACTTGTTTACATGTCAACACATTTAATACCACAAAATGCATACTTTACAAATTACTTCTGATCTGATCTACCAGTAGAGGTATGATGTCTCTGTAACTTCTAATTCTGGTCCTCCTGCTTTTTGGTACCTACGTGTAAACCACTTACACACTAAGTCAAAGACATAGGCATAATATAATATGTAACCACGAATTTATGAAACATGTACTACTATCAATAAATCATAATATTACAATTTACATATATCTACTAACTATAACATATACTATTATAGTATACACATATAAAACTTAACTTATTATAAGAGTTTACATTCAATTTATCTTTAAATGCCCATGTACATTATTGAGAACAGGAGGTACTTGAGTACACTGAGGTTGTGCACAAATGTTGTCACCACATCTCGAATAAATTCCCACTAGGGGCACTGAAAAATTATCCCGAATGACCACTTTGTCCCGAAGGACCACTTATAATCCATCGACTCTTGGCATGCAAATTATAACTACAACTCTCATATCATATAACATGTCACTTTTCTTATTACACATATTGGATTTGTTCTCTTATAATTGCATGCATTCATATTATATTATGTTAAAGCATTTAAAAGTTATGCAAATACTTATTATAACTATAACATATGCATGTATAAGACAAGGAAATCATAAAATCAAATATAGGAAATAGACTTATCATAAGTCTTATTTCCATTGAACTATATCTATAGTATGCACTCACCCAAGCCTCACTTGATTCGAATCAATTTTAGAACTTCTCTTTCTCTCAACCGTGTATCCTTCACATCATGTTTCCTCTTTCATATTCTTAACTCACATACTTAAACCCATTAATACTCATTTATCACATCTTTAACCTCAAAATCCTATATTCTACGTGAAATTCAAGAATTATACTCAATTTTCAACATGTTCTAAATTCAATTCTAACACTTCATATTCCTTAATTTCACTAATGACAGGTCAAATTTAGTCTTGAAATCTAATTACTACCTCTCTATCAAGATTTAATTTAAGAACCCCTCATCTTTAATCCTTTTCATTCTCTTCATCTTATTATTTTAAGACAAATTAAGCTTTCCTTAAGCTTAAGTATCACCTAATTATCAAAACCAAACTTGAATTTCAACTAATTATCAACTAACAATAAACTCACATTTGTTTTGGGGCCTTCACGTATGAAGAATGAAGAAGAATAAGAGAACTCTAGAAACTCACTTGGTCTCCCTTTCATTCCACGTGGGTTAATATATAACCATAACATAATTTAATTATTTCTTTTACTAAATGACCAATTTGTCCTTCTATTCCTCTTTTTTTGTAATTCAATCCTACAAAACATTTCTCATATAAGTCATTGAACAATTCAATTATTCTACTTTAATCACCAAATTCTAAAGTTTAACAATTTAGTCACTAACCCGGTATTGAGGATGTTACAAGTGAACCTGTCGAAGCACTAAATTCCAATGCCAAGGTAAAAGCAATTCCTACTCCCGTAGTTGAAGAAGTTAGACCCCACTGCCCTTCCCACAAAGATTCAATAAGCACAATCATAAAGTTCAGTTAAAAACGTTTATGGACATTCTTGATCAGCTCCACATTAATGTACCTCTCTTGGAAGCCATTGAACAAATGTCGACTTATGCCAAATTTCTTAAGGAAATTTGCACCAAGAAGAAGAAAGTTGAGAAGTATGAGACAGTTGCCACGGCAAAAGATTATTGTTCCGCATTGAGCAAGTTACCACCAAAGCAAAATCATATTGGCAGTTTTATTATTCCATGTTCTATATGAGCTAATTTCGTTAGAAATGCACTATGTGACCTTGGTTCAAATATGAACATAATGCCAAAATATATATTCTTGAAGCTTGGTATGGGAAATGTCAGACCCACCTATGTGATTTTACAACTTGTCGACCGATACCATGTTAGACCTGAAGGGAGAGTCAAATATGTCATATTGAAGGTGGATAAATTTTTATTCCCAGTCGACTTCCTTATCCTTGATTTTGAAGTTTATGTCAAGGCGCCCATAATCTTGGGTAGGTCTTTCCTATCCACTGGTCGTATTCTGATTAATTGTGAAAAAGCTGAACTTACCATGAGAGTTGCCGACCATTGTGTGACTTTCAATGTTTTTTATACTCTCAAGTATGTTGATGATTCTTAAGAATAGCAAGGCATTTTTGAAATGAACTCCTTGATTGAAGAAGAAACGGAACAATTTTTTCAAAACAATTTCATTCAGCTAGCAGACTATAAATGGTCTATTGATGATGAAAGCATAGAAGAGCATGAAAAATTACCAGCTGGGGTGGAGCAATCTAGCTTACTACTTGCTAGATCATGTATGCACTTTAAACCCCTTGATTTTGATGAATTTATTCCTCCTAAGCCATCATTATTGCATGCACCTACCCTAGAGTTAAAGCCTTTGCCAGGGCATCTTAAATATGTTTACTTGGGTAGTGATAATACTTTGCCTATGATTATTTCCTCTAGTCGTACCTTGAATTAGGAAAAAATGAATTACTTGTCGTGATATTTTCATTTTATAAGTTTAAACCATACCTAATAGGAAATAAGATTATTGTTCGCACTGATCACTCAACTAAAAAATACTTAATGAACAAAAAAGATGTTAAGCCTAGACTTATTAGGTGATCTTACTTTTGCAAGAATTTGACTTAGAGGTTGTAGATAGAAAGGGTACTGAGAATCAAGTTGTCAAACATTTATCTAGGCTATAAAGCAGTTCTAAATGCCATGACATTGTAAATATTCAAGAAGAAATTCCCTGATGAAAAAATCTTATATGCCACGGTAATCCCATGGTACACTGACATTGTTAATTTTCTTATTAGTGGTATAATGCCTTTTGAACTAAACAGCCAGGGTAAGAAAAAGTTCAAGCACGATGCAAGGTTCTACTTTTTGGATGAGCCATATTTATTCAAGCATTGAGCAGACCAAATTATTAGACGATGTGTACCTGAAGAGGAATAACAAGACATCTTATACCATTGTCATACGGCCCCAAGTGGAGGTAATTTTGGAGGAGCAAAAACTATTGCTAAGGTTCTGCAATCAGGCTTTTATTGGCCAACATTGTTCAAAGATGCTCATGCATTTTATAAGTCCTATGATCGATGCCAACACACTGGGAACATATCCAGGAGACATAAAATGCCATTGCAAGGCATTCTAGAAATTGAGTTGTTTGATGTTTAGGGCATTGACTTCATGGAACCATTCTCATCTTCTTGTGGTGATTTGTACATATTGCTTGTTATGGATTATATATCCAAGTGGGTGGAGGCAATTGCAACATCAAAGAATGATCCCAAAATCGTGCTTAAGTTTTTACACAAGAATATATTTACGTGGTTTAGAGTGCCTGGAGACATCATTAACGATGATGGAATCCACTTTGATAACAAGTTGATTAACAAGGCATTGAGGAGATATGGATTTCGTCACAAGATTGCCATGACATACATTCCACATACGAATAGCCAAGCTGAAATATCTAACCGCGAGATAAAGCTAATCTTAGAAAAAATGGTGAATCCGAGGCGAAAGGATTGGTCACCAAAGTTAGATGAGGCACTCTGGGCATATAGATCAACTTTTAAGACTCCTCTAGGCAATCACCCTTCAAGTTAGTGTATGGGAAGGCCTGCCACCTCCCTGTTGAGCTGGAACACAAGGTGTATTGGGTCATTAAGAGGCTATATTTTGATACTCAATTAGTTGGGGAGCAAATACTGCTTGAGCTTAATGATATGGAAGAGTTCAGGGCACAAGCATATGAGAATTCCAAGTTATACAAAGAAAATACCAAAAAGTGGCATGACCAAAAACTGATTCCACGACATTTTTATGTTGGCCAACAAGTATTACTTTATAATTCAAGCCTTAAACTCTTCCTTGGAAAGTTCAAATCTAGATGGTAAGGACATTTGAGATGCATGAAGTCCACCCTCATGGAGCATTTGATATAAAAATATAGACGAAGGGATGATCTTTAAAGTCAACAGTCAGCGCTTGATAGTTTACAATGGAGCTCCACCTTTGCGTGACAAGTCGGTGCTTTACCTGCACGACGTTTGAGTATGCATGTCCCGTGAACCAAATTTCAATGCCAAAGCATTAGATTTTGCTATTTGTAAATAATTAAAGAATTTATTTTTATTTTTCTTATTTTTATTTTTATTATTCATGGATATTTATAAATTGTTTTGTACTGTAGGAACCCACCAGAGCTCATACCTATATGATGGAGCGGTTACCAAGGGAAGAAAAGACAAAATTAAGGAGGAAAATATTCTTTTTACACGTTATTGCTCTATTTTATTTTATTTCCATTTTTTGAACTGTTCTTTTACCCCTCATTTAATGTTTACAGTTTACTTTTTCACCTACCCATTTCACCTCGTCCACTCATTCTATCTCTTTCACTATTTCTTTTAACTTTTCATCTTTTTCTTCTCACATTCCCTCTACATCAACGCCATTGTTGCAAACAAAGCTCTCAACTTTTTGTTCTTTTTTCTTCCAATCCGGTAAAAAAAATGGTACGAACATGACCCTCAATAACTGAAACAACTCTTTCTCAATAGTTCGTGGATGAAGCTACAAATGAGCGGTTCTAAAATTTTAAAAATCGAAAACTCTTTTTAGAGTTAGGGTTTATTTTCACCGAGGAGTAAGACGACATTTTTGGGTTGGATGTCATGTACATTGTCGAACCACACAAATGGAAAAAGTTTACGCGACATCCTGTCTTCGTCAATGCCTCGTTAGTTAAGGAGTTTTATGCGAACATCTCAAAACCAAACCAACATGTTGTTTTTGTTAGGGGTCACTATATTCGTTTTACACCGTCGGTGATTAACCGTTATTTCCACTTGCAGGACGTAGTCGATCAACATATGGATTTTGAAAATGTAGTCAATAGTACGACATACGATGGTATACTCGAATATTTGTGTTTTCCTAACATCGAATGGAATAGTCGTCAAGCTAGCTATTTTTATGTCAATCGGGAGCGTCTCCAACCTCACGTGAAATTGTGGAACCACTTCATGAAACACAAGTTAATGCCTACTATCCAAAACACGAAGGTAACCCTTCCATGTCTAATGTTATTACACTCTATTATGGTTACTCGTTCAACTGATGTTGGTTGAATAATTGTTGAGCAAGTTCATGAATGTTTAGGAAATAAATCTAGTGTGTTGGTGTTCTTTTATATTATCACATCATTGTACCGGAAAAAGAAGGTGATTGAAAACGGTTTTGATAAAAACAATTGGAGTGTCAGGCATCACAAGAGCACAACTGCCTATTCTGTTGGGATTGGTTAACCTCAAATCCAAGGCAGCCAATACTGAGGAGTCCGAGGAAGATAAACCTTGTGATGTCGAGGCAAGACTAATTGCCCTCGACGAATCTATCCAACAAATAATGACTCACTTGAATGCTCTCATGGGTGATATAAAGAATTTCTTTGGCTACGCCAAGCATAGGGATATTGTTGTGGAGTCAATCTTTCAAGATATGATCATTTATATGGAACAGAATTTCTTGGGTTTCCCGGATGAAATTCTACCGACATTTGACAATATCGAGGAAACTTCTGAGCCTGATGACGCCAATCCTGCTGATAATGAGCATGTGCCATACCTCACAGCCCATCCCCCATCTCATATTGTTCCTGATGAGCCGTCCCATGCAACCCAATCCAGATGAAGTACTAGAGCCTCTATCTATGTGTAGAATCTATAGTTGTATCAAGACTTCAGCAGGGTGCGTCAACACCTATATTACCTACTACTACTCAACATCTCCAAAATCCAGCCCTACCCCACAAAGAAAGCACTCCAGGCGTGGAAATGCAGGTACCTCCACCGTAACACCGCCACCATCATAGAAATCGAGGACCTCATTTTGCATTCATTTTTGCATAGCATGACATTGCATTTAGTTTTATTAATTACTTAGTTCTCTTAAGCATTGAGGGCAATGTTTTTCTCACGTTTGAGGGAGATAGTGTTCTTTATTGAACATGTAAATGTAAATGACTGTTGAGAATGATAGAACTGACTCTAAAACTTGATGTTTTGTGAATTATTCATATACGATTTGTATGTTCTCTATACTTAAGAATCTAGGAAGTTTTTATGAAAGAACTCTGGTTAGCCTTGACATTAAAATTTGGTATTGTGCTTAAATGATAAATCACTATTTAAAGAACTCTCTTATGTCTGAATTTTGTTTAATCATGAATAAATGTTTTGGCATAGCTGTAGAGGGACACTCCTCTTTGTCGTGGCATTGCCTGCAACTCTCTTTAATAAATGGTAGCCATGCTCATACGAGTGAATAAAAGTAGTCACGTGATGACTATGTGTGTTTGCACTATTGAGGCAATGCCTAAATACCACATTTCAATAAATGGTAGCCACGGTAAGTGTAGACCATAGTTGTGATGGGCTGACTCTCCTCGTAGTAGCGTAAAAAATATGTGTATTAAGTAAAAATGGAGTATAAATGTGCTTAATGAATGAGTAAATGTTGTGGCAAAACTAGGGAACTGAATTGGAAATTGCCTAAATTTGTTAAGTATAGATTGGATACAAGTATACAACCACGCACACACACAACCACAAAAAATCTTGACCTAAGAAAAAGTACTTGATTTCTTGATATGTCTAGCATGTTGAAGCCAACTTTTCTGAGGGTTGAAATTCTATTTTTGTCTTGATTGTCTTATTGTTAAAAATTTTCATGACATTTTTGTTGTGTTAATTGTTATTCATTACTTAGGAACAAGCAATAGCTTAAGTTTGGGGGTGTGATAACTCTGTAAAAATGCTACTTTTAAGGCCTTTTTCACTTAAGTTATTGTTTGTATAAGGGTTAATATAGGTCATTTTAGATTCATATAGTTGCATGTACTTGCATTTATGGTGGTTGTGTTATTTCTACTTTGTTAAGTTGTTATATAATGGGAAAGGTGAGGTTGGTTAGTGACCTGCAGGAAACAATGAGCATAAGGTGAGCTGAGAAGAATGACGTGGCATCACATGCTGCTGAAGCAGACTGCAATGCCTTGGCATTTCTGGCGTAGAAAAAGAGAAAGAGATATTTTCACAAGAGGACAGTTGTCAAAGCACATGTCTACTTTTAATAACCGTCTGAATGGGGTCTATTGCCACCTGTAGAGATAAACTTCACGCACAAGGAATGAATTTAGGGGTATTATGGGTATTTTGAGTGCAAAATTCCCAAGAATACCCTTAGATATTTTTTATTTAAAAGGACACAAAACAAGATAAAAAAAGAGAGAGCTTGGAAAAAATCCATCATCATCTTCTTCATTTTCTCTAGCTCCATTAACGTTCTTCTTTGTCCATTTTTTATTGGTGTTCCTCCATTGGTGAAGCTCGAGGGAGTGGTGTAGTATCTAAAAGGAGCTTACACTATAGTTGTTCGTGATGGTTTGAGGGAAGAACCGGCCGTGCACACCTAATGCTTTCTTCTTCAACCTTTACTCTATTGTTGGTGAGGTTCATTCGATGGATGTTTGAAACTTTATTTTAATGGTTGATGTCTGTTTATCTTTTTTTTTACTTGTTTTGTTTATGTGTGCTTCATCTTCTAAGATTGTAAGAGGCATGAGAGTGTAAATTTCTTTGATGAAGACTATATGTTCGAAAGAAATATAGTCTTTAATTGTAACCCCATAGACTCGGCCTATGCATTTTGACTAAGTCTAGCATATTACATTAAAGATTCTTAAAAACATTTCCCAAAAACTTTATTCGTTAATATAAATCATATTTCAAATGACCTTTATAAAAGTATAATAAATAATGATAAAACCCAACTCTTGAATATAAAACTAAAACCGACTCGATAAAATAAAACATGAAATAAATCCTGAGCATCGTAAATCAAATATCAGTAGTGAAAGCAGTGAACATTATAAAACGATATATACTTCAAAAATAAGGCACATGTCACCATAATTAAAAGCAGTTCGGAAGGCAGAATATTACAACAAAATGATCTGAACTAAATGTACCAATCTTCCAAGTGCCTGATACCGAGTGTCTATCCGAGAGTATCTGAAAGGGGGTAAAATAATTTGAAAAGTGAGCTAGAGGTTCAGTGTGTCCCAACAGTACAAAAATAAAAACATACAGTTATGATCTTTAAAACCAGTACAGATTACAGTCATTAAAACATCATAGGAGTTTTTTATTTAAAAACTCTGCATCATCCTCCAATTGAACGCCATGTGCAGTTCCCCAGAACTGCACAACCTAAGGGAGTACCTTGGGGCCTGCGAGCCTACCCAAGACAATTCCCGGGGCCACAAAGGCTTATCCAAGAAAATCTCAAGGCTGCAGAGCCTACCCAAGGGTCGCCTTAGGTCCATAAGGAATTACCAGTCGGTGCTGAACCTATTCGGGGAATTACCAACAGCGACTAAACCTGCCAAAGTCTTCATACCATAATCCAAAATACCTTGAAGAAAACATTTTTCAGATGATAACTAGTAGTAACAGTAATTCAGAGTTCAGACAAATCATCAGTTTAGTAAAACTAGTAACTATAAATCATAAGTCAGGCAATCATGCTTTACATTTTAGTAAATCTGGAATCAGGTAAATCATACAGTAGTCAAATCAGATCAAACATTATATTTCAAAACAGAGAAAACAATCATGTGCACATGAGATTTCAAACAGATATTTAAAATATTTATAATGCACACAAGGAACATACCTCGATAATAGGGTCAGTCCGGAAGATCTATCGAGCACCATCTTCACTAGGCTCTTCGACTGAACAGGAACCTAAGCCATATCAGAAAAGGGTTATATTCGGAATAATATTCTAAAAAGAATAACTAACAGGGTTACATAACTATACGAGTATTCACGACCTCTCGAGGACGGGCAGATCAGGAGGAGCCGGGTCGAGCAATGATATAGTCAGGAGATCCCCAAGTACCTTTAACATGTCATAACAATAATTAGTCCTTGACCATTCAGTACAATTAACTGAATTAAAATACTTAGATAAATATACATTTTTTCAAGTTTACGGGTCAATTCGGAGACTTTCGGGTTTGAATTTGGCAAAACAGGCTTCGGAATCAGGCTCAGTACGTTGAAAAACATAAAATATGATTTTTCAAAAATTTTGAATTTTTTTGTCAAAGTCAACGGTCAACGGTCGATCAACGGTCAACAGGTCAATGGTCAGTCAACGGTTGGTCAACGGGTCAGATCGGGTCAAGTCGGATCGGTCAGCGGGTCGAGTTAGCGGGTCGATCGGGTCAGCAGGTCGGGTCAACGGGTCGGACAACCCATTAAACTGTCCACCGTTTGGTGAACCTCCCCCATGCGCAGGGGCGGCGCGTGGGGGCACGTGAGACATCCTACGGCGTCGTAAAAATTACAGAAAAAAATTCTAAAATTATTTTTAAGGATTTTGAGACACTTACTAAGCTCAGTTCAAAATTTTAAATGGTGGAGAGCTCGATTTTAAAACGTAGGAAACTTTAACTTCCTCACCTCCCTCACGCGCCAGCGACAACGGAGACAAGAAGGGCACCGGTGGACTTGAAATGACACAAGGAACACGATGGTGCCGGAGGTGTCGAAATTTGAGCAACGATCGACGATGAATCGATGATTTTCACAGCGGTAGTGTTAAAAAACTTTGAAACTTTGAATCGAAATTCACAGCGTTAGACAACGTTTTATGATGAGAGTTTTACAGGGTTTTGTTCACCGTTCGACGATGAACCAAACGGTAATGGTGGTGTAAGCTAGAACGGTCGGACGGTGACGGAATCGACCTTGGAAGGAATGTATGCGGGGAGGAAGTTCTGTGAAATTTGTTTTTGATTTCTCAAACGGAAACCAAATTCACGCATATATGAAGAAATGTCTGCCGTCACAAAATGGTGAAATTCAGGGCTTGGTCCCTGAATTTCATTCAACTTCTAAAATAGCCTACTTGTTCTGGAAATTTTTAATTTGAGCCTCAAATTTCACCCAAATGATTATATTATATTTTTTTTTCGGGTTGTTACATTAATTTTTAAATGTTTGAGAGAAACTTAAGTAAGATTAACATAAGCAATGGGGTATAGTTAATCACTATAGTCTAATCCTTTAGTACTTGAGAAAGACTAAACTAGGATTTCAACTACTAAGAGGGTTAGCGCATCATCAATAGTGTAGGTTGTCATAGTTGAGATTGAGAAGAGATACCGTGGCATTCTATTCTGTTAGGTTCTTATGACTAGAGATAGCGAGAACACTTTTAGCAAACTCAGTCGAACAAGTAAAGCAATAGAAGACTAAATCAGCTAGAAAGATAAGTTTTCAGCTCCTTAAGTGACTCCCCACCATTCATTCCCAAAGTAGTTTTGCGTGTGAGGATTATCAAGCTATTCAATTTATTTTCTATTTTTACCATTTTACATTGCCTTGGCATTTTCATCATATTCATCGTTATAAATTTCTCTTTTTCCACGACATTTTTCACTCAATCACACTCCCTCACCATCATTTCATTCACTCTCACATTTCCATTGCCGAAGCATCATCAGTGTATATATCATTTCTATACTTAGATAAATTAGTTTGGTGTTGTGGTCAAACTCATAATTTCCACCAATCCTTGTGGAGTCGATATTCACTCATCACTTTATTACTTATTGCGAT